CTCAAATAAAAAGCTAGAATATCACAATGACACGATTTTATGTGCATGTACATAATATTAACTATATAAACTACATGCTGTTTTACACAGAAGAGCACCAAACATGAGTTTTAAGAATACGAGAAAAAAAAAGATTAGAAATTCTTCTAACAAATGCAAATTTCTTCCTGTAATTTCATACAAATATTCCAAGCCTTTCTTTCGTGTTTATTGGACTAAAAGAGATTAAATTATTAAATTTCCTCTCACCCCCCCCCCCCCCCTGAATTGATACAATGCTCTCCTTCAGAGTCGAGAATGGCAGGCCAGGGCTGGTGATGAAATCCATGATTACTCCATAACCTATTATAATATTAACCAAAAAATCATACACGATATTGTTAGTTCGCAGGTTTTCAAATAAATTTAAGAAAAGGTCGGCAAAGATGAGTATGCCTAACTAAACTTTTTTATTCATAAACTTTTTAATTTCTAGAGTGTAAAATCGAGCATCGAAGTGTGTACATGTACTATATATATACCTGTATATTTTTTTGGGGGGGGGGGTACCAGTTTTCGCTGCATGTGATATCCTGAATTTTGCATTGCATTTCTGACAATTAAACAAAGTTAATAGAATATATTTACATCCACTGAATAATTTCTCCTTTATTTTTTAAGAAAACCCATTGCGTTCATCACTGCATGAACTACATTAGGCATATCGCCAGTGCAGATTTCTTGATCAGTGGCTGTTCCATCAATGAAACGTATAAAGACATTTGCATCATTAATACAATAATTAACCTTTTTATTCAAACTTTAAATGATTATTTAAACAGATATAAATATAAACAATAAAATGCTTTCTTTGTTTGTTATTACTGGAATGAACGGTCGCAGCTATTGCAGAAAAAATTTACATAACCCGCTTACGCGGGTTATGTATTTTTTCTGCAACAGCTGCTTCCGTTCATTCCATTAATAACAAACAAAGAAATCATTTTATTGTTTAAATAATTGGTGACAGTAACACAAGTGATTTATAAAACGAAAGTCAAGCAATAAAACGTTAAAGTTTGTATTTTGAAAAATAAATCAAGTCAAGTCACATAAAACAAAGACAGGTTGAAACGCTCACACATGGACATACATACAAACGTTTAGGTAACTCGGAATAGTCCAGAGTAGAACTATATTTTCTTGAAGACGGAATGTCTAGTACAACTTGTTCACGACCGGGATAGTTCACGGCAGTTTCATCACACATACGCAATTATCATACAAGTCGAACGCTCTTTGAGATTGAGGATTGACACTAACTCCTTAGATAAATACTGAGTATCAATGTCCTTTTTACTGTCTTAACTTAACTTGATAGGTAAATAATTTTAGCGTATGTTAAAAATAAGCATTAGAAATAATTCTTTTCATAAAATTTAATTCTGTTACATATCAAATGAATTTGTAAAGTTAACTTTATGACAATTGTCATGCTGCAGATCTGTAGCTCGCTAGCTGTTCTAAAAAAATTGAGATGGATCACCAGAGAGCTACAGTGCCATCCATATTATCTCGAGTTCAGGCTCAGAAGGACAATTAAAAACGGTTGTAAGGAATGTTTAACTGTGGAAATGTTTAAGGAATGTGTTAGAGACACACGGTAAATAATATTTTTAGATTCAAGCAGTTGAAAAACACGGATTTGAATATAGCTTCAGTGCAATATTTTTCTAATATTTTCTAGTTTTTTATTCTTCGTATTTCTCAATTCATCATGTTTTAATAACGTGTATTTATTTTTATTAGGACACATTAAACCTTATTTGTCAACCAGTCTGACAGTGTCCATCTCTCACGAGAACTTTAAACTTGATAATAACTATTGAATGAGTTGAAATAGGACTTTCATATTTCACATGTGCATTATTTGTGACATGTAATTTTCAAATATACTGTGATTTTTAACCCCTTGACCTTGATCTTGGAGCTTGACCTACTTAAAAAATAACAATACTTTAAATTGACCATAACTATTGAAAACTTTCATTTTATAAACATGTACATGTAATACCTGTTTCAACGCCTTTGAAAATTCATTATGATTTTTTACCCTTTGACCTTGAAGTTTGACCCACTTTTCAAAAACATTAACCATAGTTATACCTTTTGAGAGAAAAGAGATCAATTAGGGCTTTTATTTTACCACTGTGTATTACCCGTAACAACATTTTTTTAAATACCGATACGCTGATTTTGACAACGTGACCTTGAGGCTTGACTTACTTTTCACAATTTTAATCTTGATCATAACTTTTGAATGAGAAAAGATAGGGTTTTCGTATTACACAAAAATCAAATGTATGTGACCTGTGATAAAATCATTTCAAATACTAGCATATAATGAACTTTGACCTTGAAGTTTAACCGGCTTTAAACATTGCTTAAAATTAATTGTCCATGACTTTCGATAAAGAAAGGATAACACTTTCATACCTAGATTTACACATGTATACACGTATTAGCTGTGACAAAGCCTATCGAAAAAAATATAGCTTAAGAATTCGTCAATACGGTAGCACACAAATGGCTTTGCTTATCACCAACGTGTGTCATGGTGTGGCGTAAGGTCATTTTAACAAGGTCAAGGTCGCAAACATTCCTTTACTATCTTTTTTAATAGTAAAACATAAGATGACATCTACCCTTAAAAGATTGCTTTAACAGTAGAATGTGGCATGACCTTGACCCAAGGTCATTTCTCCTTGTCCGCAGCTCCGACGGAAGACCTACTCGTTGCTTTGCAACGAGCTCGGCTCTAGTTATTTGTAAAATTCAAAAAGTTTCAGGGGCAATAACTCATTGAAGGGGTCACCGAAGACTTTCGCAATGAATAGATTCCAGGGTCCTCTCAATTAGTCGAAGACTTTAGTGAAGGTTTCATATTTCTACGGTTTATGGTTTCGAAGGAGTAGCGATAACAAGGTTTTTCATACAAAGGGCAAGAACTCCAATAGGGGTCATAGGTCATACGCGTTGGGTATTTTTTCGAAATAACTTTTAATGGCGAGTATTATGAACTGCAAAGTTCTTCGAGAACTCTTTCGGTTCAATTTTCGATAACGGAAAAATAATAATAATAAACAGAAGCATTTCAAGAGGTCTTTCCACAGAAAGGTGGAAAGACCTAATTAACTCGTTATAACGAGATAATGAATTCGTTATAACGAGATAATTAAGTCGTTATAACGAGATAATTAAGTCGTTATAACGAGATAACTAACTCGTTATAACAAGATACCTAACTCGTTATAACGAAATACTAACTCGTTATTACGAGATAACTAACTCGTTATAAGGAGATACTAAATCGTCATAACGAGATAAAACTAAGTCGTTATAATGAGATAATTTTCTCGTTATAACGAGATAATTAACTCGTTATAGGAGATACTAACTCGTTATAACAAGATATTAACTCGTTATAACGAGATAACTAAGTCGTTATAACGAATTATTTTTTTTTCTATTCAAAAATGAGCCTATCAGGCTTTCGTATATGAGGACATAATTCGAAATTTAAATTTGTATGTTCATTGCCCTCTCCTTAAAATAATACCAAATTTAATATAGGTATCCGGTCTAATTTTCATATGATTTTAAATTGAATGTCATGAAAATACCTTATTGGGTGGACCCTGTGGTCCACGCAGTAAATATATAAGAGAAGTTTAACCGGATGCCCTGGGCAAACGACAGGCTACGCATGCGCGCGAATGCTACGGAGTTTGCACCTTGGGTAACTTGCCCGTAGAATAATTCGCCCTATTCAAATTAAAATATGCCATTCATTGACAAATCGCACTTTTAAATCTGCCAAACCTCTTTTCATATTCATTGGCAGATCCGATTTCCTCTCTTTTACATATACTTTTATAATAAACATTGATTCTATGGAACAAACATTTTAAGGAGTTACAGTGTATAGATGCATTTAACTTAATTAACAACATGAATGAGAAACGTCTCTCAACTAACAGTGATACATGTAGTTAGTAAAGCTTTTAAAGTAGAGCAAATTTTCACCGGCATTAAATTTGTGCAAGGTCTGTAGCAAGGGCTTCAATGTGTGTGTGCGTGTGTGGCTCCCCCATATTGGGGACCTGCTACAGATACGCAAGTCATAAAATAGGGACATAAAAAAAATTGGGGACTTGATTTAAGTCCCCAAACTTTTTTATCGTTTTAAACGAAAAATTGACATGCCTAAATCCTAAAAAATCAAAAAAAAATAGCGTGTCCCAGTTTCGGGGTTTCATCGAACACATGATTACACAGATATCGTGCGGATTGCAAGTGCCATCTTCGCTTACACATCTCTGACGTTACACACATCTAGAATGCGCATGCGCGTGTGTAAGGAAAACGGAAGTTCAATATGTTTTGAAGCGGGGAAATGGCTAGCAGAGGTCGAAGGAGAGCACCGGTATCTAGGCCTATTATTCAACCCGATTCGTTCGACAGTGAAGCATTTTATGTAAAAGAAACAGTGGAAAAGGGTATGTCGTTTTACTTTGGGGTCACCATTTCAATTGAATGCTGGACAACTCGCCCCCAAGACAGCTCGCCCCCAAGACAACTTGCCACCTTTTCAGGACAACTCGCCCCCAATTTAGGACAACTCGCCCCCTGTTAAGACAACTCGCCCCCAGGTTAAGACAACTCGCCCCCAGCTTTTAGAAAGCAAACTGGGAGCGATATTTTTTATATAAATGTATTTATTTTTTATTTAATAAATATATTTATACATTATTTCGATATTTATTTTTATTTTGAGTGTTCCTGGCGTCAATTACGCTTAAAAATTCTATTTCCCTTTCAAGAAATATAACAAAAAACAAAACGAAAATAAATTTTCTTTTCTAGACTTTATTGAAAATAAATAATATAAACAATAGTATTTATTTTAATCACTATCTTCTTTCAATCACAATTATTTTCACTTTAATCACACGGCACGTTTTCCTTCTTCACTGTCCGTTGTAGATCTGTCCACACTTCTTCAGTAGTCGGCTGGCGCTGATGGATCCATCGTTGTAGTTGTCCCAAAGTTGGTTAATGTGGCACTGTAGAAGTCTTGTAGTCTTTCGTTGGTATCTCCGGAGTTTTCCCTCGCTGATTATCTTCAGTTGGGTCGGGATGCTGGCGGTTTCCTTGTAGAGTAGAATAACAAGCACATAGAAGGGCAGGCTGGACTTCTGGGCTCTCCTGTTGATGCGGTGGTGCCATCCTTCGACGTCGTTGTTTGTCCTCACTGCCATACGGTAGACGGTCCACGATGATGGGGTCCAGATGTCGCCGTTGATCCAGGTCCTCTCGATGTAGTTGGTCAGCTGTATCAGTCGCTCGCTGGTGACGGTCTCCTTCAGTGCGTGGAACGCGACGGGAATCTGTTCCTCTGGTAGAAATGGCAGGGCAAGCAGCTTCCTCACAAACTTGAAGACACCATCCCGCTGGCTGTAGTCGATCTGCAAAAAAAGATATATTTTAATATTTATATTATTTTTATCATATACATTGGATGTTTCAAAAATATTATATTTATTTTTTGAATATTACAACGTTTTGTTATTCTAAATTTAAGTTCACTCTGAAAATCATTTATCGTAATATAATACATAATAAATAAGCATACCTGTAATCCAAGTTCCTGAACATGACGCCATACTGCTTGTCCCCAGTGGAAAGCACAACCGTGTATCCGGACGCCACGCAACACAGACTTCGCAGCTCTCCACATTCCCTCCTCGAAGTCTGCAACCAACAGCTCGGTGACGGGGGGCGATGGCATCAGCTCCAAAATCCTGGCAAACACCTGAAAGCAAAACAACATTGATATTAAATAAAGTATTGATATTTCAAATACAAATAGAATTATTATTGTTGTTTCTTATTTAAGAAAGATTTTATACCTGCTTGTAGTCCTTCTTTCTTTTCCTTGGGTGAAGTTCCTGGGGTGAAGTCTGGTCGTTGAGTGATTCCTCCTCTGGATGGTGTGGCTCGGCGTGGGGAACGATGGGGATGTTGATGGATTCCTCAACTATGCGGGTGCTCTCGGCGTCTGGGAGAAGACGTGAGGGGAGCTCGCTGGTGGTGGTGACCTCGTAGTAGGGAACTGTGGGCTCTACACACTCGACACACTGAAACACAACTTGTCCTTGGCTTCTCATCCGTTGATACTCCTCACCTGAGATGCCTGAAAAAGAAATATGTTTTAGATCAAAGTCATCAATTTATGCGGTCATTATGCCTATGACATTCCGTTTAAAAGAGGAGAAGATACAATTGAAATAATTTGTTTTCTATGTAATTATTTATTTTTATATAATATTATATTTTTTTCTAATCTCAATTACACATTTGCATTTATACGGCTATTAGGCCTATGAAATTGCACTTAAAAAAGATGAGAATATACGATGAATATAATGTTTTTAATATTTAATTATTTTTTATGTAAAATGACATTTTTTCTAACCTGAGTTACATGTCCTATGTTGTTTTCCGTGGCAGGAAATGCAACATAGGACCTCTTGACGTTGTCGGAGATGAAGATTGCATACAATGCACATGTCAGCCATGATTGAAACTGATGACAAATTCAAGTCATTTCTTCCTTATATAGGGACCATGTCAAATTATTTAATTTGTTTTCAACGCAAGCTTTCTTGAATTCTTCATCACTTTTAAGTTGCTTCGGAGCTTGGATACGCCAATTTTTTTTATCATCTGTATATACGTAATTTTCTAGGCTTGCATGCTCTAATTCTTCATTACCTTAAAGCTGCTTCGGAGCTTGGACAAGCCCATTTTTGACCAACTAAATATACGTAATTTTCGGGGCTTGGTTGTCCTAATTAATCATCACTTTGAAGTTCCAATTTTTTTATAAACGAAATACACGTAATTTTCGGGGCTTGTATGTCCTAATTAATCATTACTTTGAAGTTTCAAATTATACTTGTGAGCTTGGGGATTTCATTAAAATTCTGTGTGATGTTTTCATTATAGTTTTCATAAGTTTCCTAAAAGCCGTCGTTGATGGAATTCAATAATGTATCATTGAATAATTATCATTGTTCAAGACTTAGAACATTGTACTTGATTTACCCAGACATATTCTACAAATATAAATTTTAAACAATATGATAAATCAAAATGCGTTTATTTTCTCTATTTCACAAGAAAAAAAATAAGGAAATAATATATATCTTATCTTATCGTGTTTACTTTATATATGAGTAAAAAAAAAACAAACAACAACATATACAATCGTAAATATTAATTTTATTTAATTTATAATACACATTAATTATAAATCTGCATTTAAATATATTTTATTGAATAAAATATGTTGTTTTTTCCTTGTTATACACAAGAAAAAATAATGGGGGCGAGTTGTCTCTGCAATGGGGGCGAGCTGTCTTGAGTGGGGGCGAGTTGTCCTAAATTGGGGGCGAG